AATCATTATAAAATTCTGATTAAAGAAATAAAGAACTTAGCCCTGGCCAGTTTTGCTCAGCGGTTAGAGCGTTGGCCTGCGGTCCGTAGAGACCCGGGTTCAGTTCCCACTAAGGGCATGTACCTCGGTTGCAGTTTGTCCCCGGCCCTGGTTGGTCGTGCGGGTGGCAGCCACTCGATGTGTCCCTTTCACATCAATGTTTCTCTCTCTCTCTCTCTCTCTCTCTCTCTTCCTCTCTCTCCCTCCCACTCTATCTGTACAAAAAATGGAAAAATGTCCTCGGGTGAGGATAAAAAAAATAAATAAATAAATAAATAAAGAACTTAAATAATAAATACATTTATTTCTCCTTATGTCTGGAACATTAAATTAGCATGTCAAAATGCTGATTTAAATACCATTAATACCAACTAAAATAACTTATGCAATCTTCCATCACATTCTGAATACCATCCAGGTTTCTTAGCATGTCATCCTAAGGTCCTTGAACCCCACTGCTCTGGTGCCCCGCTGCCTTTGCAGCTTCAGAGATACTGGTCTGGTTTGGGATCTTAGCCCTTCTCCCGACTCACTTGCCCTTTCTCTCCCATCATGCCACCACCTCTGGGATGGCTAGGATAGGCAATTAATATGCAGTCTATCTAAACCATAGAGTTGCAAAAGGACAGCGCCTAAAACCTGATAGATATGTAAAATATTTTTTTTGAATTGAACTGAAAATTATCAGCTAAATGAGACGATATTTTCTGGTTATTATTGCTATGGAGAATTTTAAAAGGCATGTCATTTTCCCCGCACAAGGAGAAACATCAAGCTCTAAATGAGGAGTGGTGTGCTTTCTAGAGCTTGGGCAGTCTAGGAACGGCCAGGAGAGTTATGGCACATATTGCCTAATACGGCACACTGAGAACTTTCCACCTGGATGGTGAGAGGTAGCACCCATTCGCTCCTCTGCGTAGTGACTACTTGATTTGAAATAGAGGGCTGTAAGTTCTAATATGCCAGGGTGTCCACAAATAAGAGGAAAATATTTTATGATTTGCAAAAGGATACAATTATGTATGTGGTTTCTTTAGGACTGGAAAGGATTAATACCTCTAGGAATATACACTACCTAAAGAGGTAATAGGTCTCGAGGATTAGAGAGCACCCCCATGGTAAATTGTGTTAGAAATGATTGTTATTGGCCCTGGCCGGTTTGGCTCAGCAGTTAGAGCGTCGGCCTGTGGTCCAGAGAGACCCGCGTTTTGTTCCTGCTAAGGGCACGTACCTCAGTTGCAGTTTGGCCCCGGGCCCGGTTGGGTTGTGTAGGTGGCAACCACTCGATGTGTCCCTTTCACGTCGATGTTTCTCTCTCTCCCTTCCTCTCTATTTAAAAAAAAGAAAAAAAAAATGATTGTGATTGATGTTGAGTAAAGAATTGTGCCCCTGCCCTGGCCAGTTTGATGTTGAGTAAAGAATTGTGCCCCTGCCCTGGCCAGTTTGGCTCAGTGATTAGAGCGTTGGCCTGTGGACCAAAGAGTCCCAGGTTCAATTCTGGCCAAGGGTATGAGCCTCAGTTGCAGTTAGTCCCTGGCCCCAGTTGGGGTTGTGCGGATGGCAGCCAATCAGTGTGTATCTTTCGCATCGATGTTTCTCTCTCTCTCTCTTCCTCCCACTCTGTCTGAAGATAAATGTAAAAATATCCTCGGGGGAGGATTGAAAAAAAAAATTGTGCCCTACTGTTGTTTCAGGCAGCAGGGAAGTGACGATGTCCGCAGGTCAGCGGTTCCAGCAGAGATGGCAAAAATGAAAAACCTACACTAGTTTCCCTCTCACTTGTTTGGTTTCCAAGAACTAGTCCACTTGGTGGAATGGGGGCAACAATCGTGACGTCCTGCGGGGGGGGGGGGGGGGAGCAGTAATCTTGGGTTGGTGCAGGAAGAAATGCTTTACAGGGGTATTGCTGGGGCTGGGGCTGTGGCTGGGCCTTGAAGGCAGTGGGCCAGCAAGCCCTTAGCTAAGGGAGAAGGAGTGAGAATGTTTCAGACCAGGTATTATGCAGAAGCCAGGAGTCAGCAGTGCCTGTTCACAGAGCAGTGATGATTTGCCAGTGTACTGTTGGGGACCAAGGGCTCAATTATAAGGACAGCATGTCTGGAGCACTTCACACACCCTTGAGGTTTCTTCAAGCTCCATTAGAATGTCACGAGTTAATCTGTTGAAGGGAAAGACTCAATTAGGAGGACTTTACAGGAATGCTTTACAGGAATGACGAGCCCAAAATTGGATTTTAAGACCATACACATTTTGCTGGCATTCTAAAAAATGTTGAGGTACATACTGAGTCAGCTATGCATGGAAATGTTATTGGGACATCTTTAGACTTGTTAATTTTGTAGTGAAGAACCTGGAAATGGGGCCCTTTGATACAATTTAATTTAAATCCAGAATTTAAAGTCTTTCATGCAGACATGTATAAAAATCCAACTATGTGCTAAGCGCTGGTGGCAGAGGGGGATGATTGCTGAGGACTAGGGCCTGCGCCCTGGGGTCTGTGCTCTGAGGGGGGCTGGTTTGAGAAGCTTTCCAATCATATTTGGAGACAAATGCAAAGTCCGATGCATGGCCATAAGGCTGCATTAGGCCTGGCGCTTCCACCTCCCTGACCTACACCCTCCAGCCTCATTTTCCACTGCTCTCCCCATCCCAACGCTTTATATGCTTCCTAGGGCTCGTTTCCTCCAGAGCTTTACATGGATGCCTTCTTCTCAAGTGTCTGCTGTAGGGCCCATCCTGAATAGGCTATAAATGTCCCTCTTGTCATCACTCTGTCATCCCTCCCCTTTTTTATGTTTTTATTTTCTTCTTTCTATTTGAAAATGTTTTACTACTACCCATTATTTTGTGTCTCCCCTACTAGTACGTCAGCTTTGTGAGGATGTGAACATTGTCTTCCTTGTTCACCACTGCATCCAGTTCTGGCACATAGTGGGGCTCAGTCAGTATGCGTTAGAGTGAAAGAGGGAGTGGACGCTGAGAAGCAGTTCAGCAAGTTGCTCGCTGTGCTGCAGGTAAGTCAGGGACATGAAACCGAACTTCACTGCGGCAGGCGGTTAGAGGAACTGAGACCTCCAGGGTGAGTCAGTTTGGCAGCCGGGAGGATGGCGAGAGGAGGATGGCGAGAGCATTGTGTGTGAGGATCCACAGGCCGTGGGCAGGAGACCCTTACTAGCTGGACCTGTGGGAGGAGGTGGGTGTGGTGGTGGAGCCGAAACTCTACAAGTCACTGGGAATCATGTCACAGAGGGTCTCCTAAGCCTGAAAAGGAATGTAGATTTTACTTATGAAGAATTTTGAGCCTTTTCATAACCAGGACATGAGAAAGAATAGTCTCATCATTCCCTCTGACTCCTGGACTTGTAGCCAGTCATTCCATTAAAACTGCACTTGTTCAGGTCACCAGTGACCTCTCCATGGAAAGGCTGTTGCCGTCATCTTACACAACTGAAGAACAGCTCTTGACCCAGTGGACTCTTCTCTTTCTTGAACTGCTCTCTCCCTGACCTGTCTGTTCCACGTCTCCTTGGGCAGCTACTGCTCAGTCTCGTTTGCAGGCTTGTCTTCAGCACAGCCTCCTTCATTCCCTAAATGTTGTTCTTCAGACCTTCCTTCTTGTCACTCTTCTTTTGTCATCCTGTGTACCCTCCTAGGAAATCTCCCATATATCCTTGACTCTGCCCCAGTGACTCCCAACTCTCTATTTACTTGGCATCTTTTTCTTAAGCTCCAGATCTTCACATCTGTTTACTAAGAAGCCCTGTCTATCTGTATATCCCACAGGCATCTCAAACTCAGTGTGTCTAAAGAGTACCTCCATCATTTCCCCCCAACCTAATACCACTCCTAAATTTCCTGTCTTGGTGAGTACATTTTCAGTCACCTAGTGGCCTAAACCAGAAACCTTTGAGTTTCTTTTAAATCTTTTTTCTCTCCCTTGTAACCATCGGTAATCAACTGCAAGTCATTTCAGTTCTCTCTACAGCTTCTCAAATATGTCTTCTGTACAGTTTTATTGTCAGAGCACTTCAGGTCCTCATCTCTCATCAGCATTGTTTCCCTGCCTCTAACACTGACCAGCCCCGACCCCAAGTCTGTCCTCTGTATAGTGCTAGAGTGGTTTTTCTAACATGCAAGTCTAACTATCACCTTGACCCCCTCCCCACTCACTGATGTGAGGAATTTAAACTTGGTGTGTCATTAATTCCTTGACCGTGTCCCAGCTCCAGCTCTGTAGCTCCAGCCCACACTTCAGTCCACACTTGTGACTGATATGATCACTCCTGCCTATGCACTCCTAAACTGAACACTTGTGCCACACCTGGGTACTTACTCATGCTCCAGGCCTTCTGTTCTTTAACTGTTCATGTGTATATATCTTATGGACCAAATGAGGGACCTTCTTCAGGTCTGGGACCATCTCCTCCAGAAAGGGTAAGACAGTAAGTGCTAGGGACAGAGTGTGCTGTCAATAAATATTGGATTTCCTTCACTAATAAGTCTTTCTTTTATGTATTATCTATTAATGTCTATTTCTTTTTTTTTAAGTTGTGTTTTCTAACTCTAACATTTAACTGCATGAAGATATTTTTCTAGTAACTTTATATTATTGGTTTGCTAATTAATAGGACTTAACTTTTCATTTCACCTGGCAAATTTGTTTTCTCACAGGTGAGGAATTCTTGCAATGTGCATGGTGCTGTGACAGCTAGTTTTGAAAAAATCAGCAAGAACATGTTAAATACTGACAGACACTCTTACATTCTCCTGTCATTGGAAAGGGTTATAAATTGAAAAGTATCACAGCTTTAATTGTATTTGAGATAGGTTAATTTGGTGCTTAGCTTCTCAAATGTAACCTTTCAAGAAAAAGGATTTTGGGTTAAATTTAAGATAAGGTATCAGGAATTAGTGAGTGTCCTGACCTCAGAACATGAAGGAGTCTTTTCTTTCTAATACAGGCATTGACGTGTAGAGAAGAGCTCCTGACTCTTCTTCTGTCGCTCCTTCCATTGGTGTGGAAGATACCTGTTCACGAAGAGAAGGCAGCAGGTATGTCTCTTTTCTTTGTCCTCCTTTCTTTACACTCTCTTCCTCTCTCTTTTAAACCACAAATGAGTACTACCTTTATCATATCACTTGTGTTATCAAAATTCTACTGGAAAAAATGTTCCACTGAAAAGTTACTTCTGTACAAATTGGTAGTAACAGAATAGTCTCAGGAATGTAAAGTGCAGTAAGGAATATAGTCAATAACATTGTAATAACTAGGTATGGTGCCCCATGGGTACTGGAAATATTGGAGGGATCACTTTGTAAAGTATATGACATCTAACTACTATGCTGTACACCTGAAATTGAAACAAAATAATATTGACTGTAAACTGGAATTGAAAAATAAAATTTTAAAAATTTTAAGTTATATTTACATTTTAAAAAAGTTATTCCTACCTTATTGGTTGATGCAGTTCAAATTCAGAACAGTATATATTAGTTTGATACTTAATATGAAAAATTGTTTAGGCAAACACATTTTTATTTCTTCTAATAACGCAAAATATCATGGTGTTTTTTAGGGGTATGTAATGATAATTAGAAAGTGTGTGAAGAAGCAGAAGCAAAAGGAGTAAATCTAGGCACACAGGATAACATCTGAGAAATGAATAGTGAAAAGTCTGAAGAAGGAAATTAAAGTTCCTTTGCTTATTTTTAAAGACTGATTTCTATTTCCATACACTGTCAATGACTTCTGCACTTGAGCTTTTCTAAGGTGGTCTTCAAAGGATAAATTTGAAGTAATATTTTGTTTCAAATCTGGGTAGACTTACTCTACTTAAGGTCAATACATATTTTTAATTTCTAATTTTGAAAAAAATTATCTACTATCTACCTATATATATATATATCTCATATTAAGTATATGAAATTTAGTTTAGTTTCAGCGAAGGGATTAACAGTTTCCCCCTTGACCGTTTCTGGGATATGTGAATTGTGAGTTGTTTAAGGATCTCTCAGATTAAAAAAAAAAAAAAATCCATCTGTATTGTATTTTAATGCCATGTGGCATTTTTAATACATTTTTGATATGGAGCTTTCTTGTTAGGGACTTTTCTAAAGTCTTGTAATATTGTTATCCTGTTTCTTTGTTGATTCACTAACTTTTTGTCTTGTTTTCTTCCAAATTTTTAGAATTCACAAGTTGTTAGTCACCTAAGATATTTGATCAGTGTTCTGCACAGGACATTGTCTTCACTACCTGCATCTTTGCACAGGGGGAACTTTTGCTCCTTTTAATCCCCCCCAACTGAGTCACAGATCTTTTATTTATAGATTTGTATTTATTCAATTTAAATTGCAACTATATTTTTATATAGATCTTATTACATGCTTTTACATGCTTTTGCAAAGAGGAAAGAGACCAGTTTTATGACCTTTTCATTAAAAAAAATTTGTTTTTTCTTTATTGATTTTTAGAGAGAGAGGAGGGGAGAGGGAGAGAGATAGAAACAGGCCACCTCCTGCATGCCCCCCACTGGGAATTTGGCCCACAACCTGGGCATGTGCCCTGACTGGGAATCGAACCGGTAACCTCTTGGTGCATGGGTTGACACTCAACCACTGAACCACTCCAGCTGGGCTGATCTTTTCATTTTTAAAGAGGATTCATTCATTTCTTCCAAGAAATAGGTATTGAGTGCTGACCTCATGCCAAGTCCTCCGTTCTAGGCACTGAGGGTGAAGCAGTGATGCCTCTACTGGGCCTGGTTCAGTGCATGGCACAGTCAGGAAATATTTGGAGTGACAATATCTTTTAACTTTAGTCTTAGAGAGTATTTGGTATCTATTCTATGCTTTTGAAATAATTTTAGAAAATCTTAAAGTTCTTAATTATGTCAGGTCTATAACCTAAATACTATTTTTGAGAATATAATATACCACTGTATCTTAATTGATGGCACTATTGGAGGAGGTTTGTAAATGGCATGAACACTAGTGCTGAATAATCTAAAGAGTCTCTTTTGTTGACATGAGAATATGTGGTTTGAAATTGGATTTATTTTTCTAATCCTGTTCTCCTTTGCTATTTCCAAATAAATATGTATCTTTTGAATTAATACTACCTTGGTACTTATCATGAGAAAGGTAAGTGTGAGGGGAAGTGACCCAGAGACATAACAAAAGCTAAAGGAAATCAGACCCACTAAAAAAGAAAAAAACCTGAAGTTAAACTTCGATAATGGATGCTAATATGAATTGAGTCTAAAAACATATTAAGGCATTCTAAAATTTCCTTTGTCATGTCCTTAGATTTTAATCTACCATTCTCAGCTGATATAATCCTGACCAAAGAAAAGAACTCAAGTTCACAAAGATCTACTCAGGAAAAATTATATTTAGAAGGAAGTGTTCCATCGGGTCAGGTTTCTGCAAAAGTAAATATTTTTCAAAAAGGCAGACGACAGCGTAAAACCACCCATCGCTATTCTGTACGAGACGCAAGAAAGACACAGCTCTCCACTTCCGACTCAGAGGCCGATTCAGACGACAGAAGGACAGCAGTGAACAAGCACAGACGGCCCCATCAACTGCAGCCTTTTGTAACACAGGCTCCTAAAGAAGACAGACTTACAGCTCAGCCTGAGCGCTTGCCAGCCAAAGAACAGACTCCTCCTCACACCATGGCTTTGGAAAGTTTCCAAGAGATAATACCAAGACAGGAGGCAAACACCGACATTTTAAGTGAGCCAGCTGCCTTGTCTATTATTGGGCGCATGAACAATTCTCCATTTGACTTATGTTATGTTTTGCTATCTTTATTAGAGAAAGTTTGTAAGTTTGACATGACCTTGAATCATAATTCTGCTCTAGCAGCCAGTGTAGTGCCCACACTGACTGAGTTCCTCGCAGGCTTTGGGGACTGCTGTAATCTCAGTGACAACTTGGGGAGTCAAATGGTTTCTGCAGGTTGGACTGAAGAACCAGTGGCCTTGATCCAACGGATGCTTTTTCGAACAGTGTTGCATCTTATGTCAGTAGATGTTAGTACTGCAGAAATGATGCCAGAAAGTCTTAAAAAAAATTTAACTGAATTGCTCAGAGCAGCTTTAAAAATTAGAACTTGCCTGGAAAAGCAGCCTGACCCTTTTGCACCAAGACAAAAGAAGACACTCCAGGAGGTTCAGGAAGGTTTTGTGTTTTCGAAGTACCGGCACAGAGCCCTGCTTTTACCCGAGCTTCTGGAGGGAGTGCTGCAGATCCTCACCTGCTGCCTTCAGAGCGCAGCCTCAAACCCCTTCTTCTTCAGTCAGGCCATGGACTTGGTCCGAGAATTTATTCAGCACCATGGATTCAATTTGTTCGAAACAGCAGTTCTTCAAATGGAATGGCTGATTTTAAGAGATGGTGTTCCTACTGAGGCCTCAGAACATTTGAAAGCCCTGATAAACAGTGTGATGAAAATAATGAGCACTGTCAAAAAAGTGAAATCAGAGCAGCTTCATCATTCCATGTGTACAAGGAAGAGGCACAGACGATGTGAATATTCCCACTTTATGCATCACCACAGAGATCTCTCAGGTCTCCTGGTTTCCGCTTTTAAAAACCAGGTTTCCAAAAACCCATTCGAGGAGACTGCGGATGGCGCTGTCTGCTACCCTGAGCGATGCTGCTGCCTGGCTGTGTGTGCGCACCAGTGTCTGCGCCTGCTGCAGCAGGCCTCCCTGAGCAGCACGTGTGTGCAGGTCCTGGCAGGAGTCCAGGACGTCGGGATATGCTGCTGTATGGACCCCAAGTCTGTCATCATTCCTTTGCTCCATGCTTTTCAATTGCCAGCACTGAAAAATTTTCAGCAGCATATATTGAATATCCTTAACAGACTTATTTTGGATCAGTTAGGAGGCGCTGAGGTGCCACAAAAAATCAAAAAAGCTGCTTGCAATGTGTGTACCATTGACTCTGATCAACTAGCTGAATTAGAAGAAACACTGCAGGGGACCGCGCATTACGAGGAGCCTTCCTCAGGCCTGTCCAGTCCTTACAGATGCCAAGGGATCCTGCCTAGCAGTGGGTCTGAAGACTTGTGGTGGAGATGGGATGCCTTAAAGGCATATCAGAATTTTGTTTTTGAAGAGGACAGATTACATAGTGTCCAGATTGCAAACCATATTTGCAATTTAATGCAGAAAGGCAATGTAGTTGTTCAGTGGAAATTGTATAATTACATATTTAATCCTGTGCTCCAAAGAGGAGTTGAACTGGCCCATCATTGCCAGCACTTCAGTGTTACTTCGGCTCAGACTCATGTGTATAGCCATCAAAATCAGTGTTTGCCTCAGGAAGTGCTTCAGGTTTATTTAAAAATGCTGCCCACCCTGCTTAAATCAAGGTTTGTATGTGTGTATGTAGATATTTTCCTTATTGTATGTTTATGAATATCTGTACCCTTTATTCTTTTTGTTGTTAATCCTCATCTGAGGATATATTTTTCCATTGGTTTTTAGAGGGAATGGAAGGGAGGAAGGGAGGGAGGGAGGGAGGAAGAAACAATGATTTGAGAGAGATACATTGATTGGCTGCCTTCCGCATGCTCCCTGACTGTGGCTGGGAATTGAACCTGCAACCCTTCAGAGTGCTGACCAGCGCTCTAACCACTGAGAACACCAGCTAGGGCTGTACCCTTTATTCTTTTATAGGATTTCATTGTAGTTTTAACAACAAAAATGTTCCCATTCTGTGTCAGATTTTTTTACATTTATTTTTGTACTGGGTGGTTATAGAGGAGAGGACAGAGCCATTGATTTTAATTTCCTCGTGAAAAAGAGTAAAGTTTTAAATATATTTCTGAGAGAAAATAGACACAAAACATATCCAGCAGCAGGGCAGGGCAAGGTTAAACTAATTGTTTTCTGTTTACTTGATGGAATATTATTAGCCATTAAAAATAATGGTTACAGAGATCATGTTTGGGACATGAAAATATACTTACATTATTTTATTGATAAGATATACAAAATTCAAAATATCACCAACTTATTTACCACTGTGTAAAATGTGTATGTACATAAATTATTCATCGAGGCAGTAGAATTAAGATTATTGTTTTTTAAATGTCATATTTTATATTTATTACCTAAGCAATATATATAGAAAAATTAGAAAATACAGAAAAGCAAAAAAGAAGAAAATTAAAATTACTTCGAATTTCACCAGTGAGTTTTTCAGATTTTGTTATTGTTAAGTCTGGTACTTAAAAAATAATTTTATAAATAAAGCTTGCTTCTGATAGGTAGCATAGACTTCAAAATTAATACATATACCATTTTAAAACTTACAATAAAATACAACTTATGTATCATCATCTTTGCAGTCATTTTTTAAAATTCTGACATTGTTTCAATAGATATAACTTTGATTTAAATTTTTTTTCTTGATTGTTTAGAGAGAGAGGAAGGGAGAGGGAGAAAGAGATAGAAACACTGATGAGAGAGAACATTGATTGGCTGCCTCCTGCATGCCCCCCACTGGGGATTGGGCCTACAGCCTGGGCATGTGCCTTGATTGGGAATCTAACCAGGGACTTCTTGGTGTATGGGTCGACACTCAATCTCTGAGCCACACCGGCTTGGCAGAACTGACTTTGATTTAAAAGTTTGTAACTTATTGGCCTATTTGTGGACAACCTGGGTCTTTGCTGAGCTGATTTATATTAAAGTTATTATCAAGATTCCAGTATGCCAGATGTCTGAATCTTACCTGAGACAGAGCTGAACTTCTTCAGATCTGTAGTTGGGTTCTTTCCTTTTCTGAGGTGCAGATTTAAAACAAGCAAAAAGTCGCCAGTGAGCCAGCAGGTAGGTGAACAAAAAGACACACAAATGCCTGCCTGCTTTCAGAATATCCACCTGAAGTGTAGTGGTGCTTGTGGCACTTAGACTTTATATAGAATCTGCTATTTGGAGAAAAATAGTCTTCCCTGAATTGCTTCATTTAACTTGGGATGCATCTAATTTGTTCTTTTTAAATGCTGAAGTCATATATGCAGTGTTTGAAGAAGGATATGAAAGTCATTAGAAAATGACTTGATTCTGGTCACATCTAAGAACTTAAGCCAGATGATGGACTAATTAAACTAGTTTTGCTTAGTGTATACCACATGCAGCAATTACACATTTAAATAGTATATGAACCTATTTATAAATGATCTTTCTATATGTAAAACCTCGTATATGTTTCTTTTTCTCTCATAGGGTAATAAGAGATTTGTTTTTAAGTTGTAACGGAGTAAGTCAAATAATTGAATTAAATTACTTAGATGGTATTCGAGGTCATTCCCTAAAAGCATTTGAAACTTTGATAATCAGCCTTGGGAAGCAACAGAAAGATCCATCGATTCCAGGTACTGATGGGATAGACGTTGAACAGAAGGAGCTGTCATCCGTAAATGCACGTCCCTCTCTCCATAGCCAGCAGGCATTTTCAGATTCTCCTCAGAGTCTCAGCAAGTTTTATGCTAGCCTCAAAGAAGCCTACCCAAAGAAACGGAAGTCCATTAACCAGGATGTTCACATCAACACAATAAACCTCTTCCTCTGTGTGGCATTCTTGTGCGTAAGTAAAGAGGCCGACTCTGACGGGGAGTCTGCCAATGATTCGGAAGACACTTCCGGCTATGACAGCACGGCCAGCGAGCCCTTGCACCACATGTTGCCCTGCTTGCCTCTGGAGAGCCTTGTCCTGCCTTCCCCCGATCGCATGCACCAAGCAGCAGACATTTGGTCCATGTGCCGTTGGATCTACATGTTGAGTCCAGCTTTCCAGAAACAGCTTTCCAGGCTGGGTGGTTTTCGGGTGTGCCATAAATTAATATTCATGATCATACAGAAACTGTTCAGAAGTCACGAAGAAGAGCAAGGAAGAAAGGAAGGAGCTACAGATGTGAATGAGAACCAAGATTTCATGAGAACTGCTCAATCTGAGATCACTGTGAAGGAGGATTCATTATCTTTGACTGTGAAAAGTCCCCCCACACCATCAGAACCAGGTAGTCTAAAGGAGAGTGCTGACAGTTTAGATAAATTAGAGTCACGGCATATCTCTTCCACAAATGAAGACCAAATCTTAGCTGCTGGAGCTGCTCCTGAGGAAGCAGAGGGACTTTCAAGTCGAGAAAGTGAGACCTCACTTCAGAGCATACGGCTTCTGGAAGCCCTTCTGGCCATTTGTCTTCACAGCACCAGAGCTAGTCAGCACAGGATGGAACTGGAGTTACCTGATCAGGTGATGACTTGTCCTTTGTCCAGCTATTGTGTAATATGTATTTTTTAAAAGTTCTAGCATAAGACGTGTGTGGTTTTTCTAAAGATTCTTAGTTTTGAGAAGTGCCTGTGTGCTCAGTACCACAGTCCAGGCGCTGTGGAGGCCACAGGAGCACAGGACCCAGTGCTGGCCCTCAAGCTTACAGTTTGGTTTGGAATGCAGAACCCACATGTGTCAGTTACCAGCCCCAGAAGGCGTTAGATATGCAGTAAATGGGAGCTGAGTAATGACGATGTTGTGTTCAAAGTTCATGCTTTACGTTCTTGGTGTGATGCTGTTCGGTGCCCGGCGCTGATCCCCTGACTGGGCTGATGCCCCCATCTGCCATCCACTGCAGGTGTGGGTTGCTGAGGACTCACACCTGCACTGTCTCCCAAGGAGAGAGACCCCATCTGAGATGCCTGGGAGGGGTGTCGCCAATGATGAGTGGATATGTCTCTAGTGGGGGGGCAAGCTCTGTGGGCAGTCCAGGCTCCAGAGCTTTCCCCGGTCTGAGGCAAGGCTGGGCATTTGTTCTGAAACCACATCTTTGCCTGGATTCTTCCCTGGCACTTTCTGCTTCCTTCATACTCTTACATGTTTCTCGTGCCTGCATTTTTCAGCATAAAAGGAACCCCTAGTTTCAGGCCCTGCTCCTGAGGAACCTTCGAATGTGGCGGGTCCATTCTTCCCTTACTAGCCCAACTCTCACTGTTCTGTCAGTCAGCAGGCTCTCCTGTTGCCTCCATGTTGCCTCCTGTCTAAATATCTCGATGCTCCCACACTGCTCACAAGTAAAACCCACACTCCTTAGCATAGCTACAGAGCCCCCAACAGTCTTGCCGGCACTTCCTTGTTTAGCCTCACTCTCTGCCACGCCTCACCAGGTGCAGCCGGCCACCCTGAGCCGGCCCCTGCTCGGCCCCTGCTCTGTACTTCTGTGCCCCTCCACCTGAGGCGCCTCTCCCTCTGCAGGTGTGCCCGCTCCTCTCACAGCCCCTCCTCTGGGACACCTCTCACAAGTCTCGGGCACCTTCCCTCTTTCTGTTCTCAGGGAACTTTGTTTATGGCTCCAGTGTGGTCATCATCATATCTTGTTGGTCTGTGTTTGTGTCTCACATGGGATTGAAAATTCCTTCAGGTAGACATCAGCTTCTTATCCATCTCTATGGTCTCAGCACCTCATGTCAGGACATGGGCAGGCAGCCAGAGTCCCCTTCAAGGACAGGAGTAAAAAAGGGAGATAAAAGGATGAGAATATAAGTGCTTCTTAGAGTCTTAAGGAATTTGTAAAATCTAGAGATGGATAATCAAAACTCTGAAGTTTCAACTAATCATTTTTGTGATTTAATTAATTTATGATACATTGGAATTCAAAACCAAATGAGGTAAATAAAGCATCTGGTAAATAAAAATGTTATTAATTGTAACAGTCAGTGTTTATATAAGGGTAAATATTCATACAGGCATTTCATTTTCATGTCAACTTAGATAAATGGACTGGCTTTTGACTTACTAATATTAACTTATATCTGTCATTGTTTCATTTTTTTTCTTAAAGCATTTTATTAATATTCTTAGTCTCTTATTTTACCCTAGAACTTGTCTGTGGAAAATATATTGTTTGAAATGAGGGACCATCTTTCCCGGTCAAAGGTGATCGAGACAGAATTAGCAAAGCCTTTATTTGATGCCCTGCTGCGAGTTGCACTGGGTCATCACTCGGCAGATTTTGAACACAGTGATGCTATGACTGAGAAGGTAAGAGTACCGTGCAGTTGTGCTGTCTGGGTGTGACCAGCAGAAGAGTGTGGGGCGGGACTTCATGGGTGAATGTGGTTAGAACATAAGGGCCAGGATTTGGTGAATTCCATCATCTGGGCTGCACAGTATTCACTCAGTGCCCCATCTCATAAAAACGGGAGGGGATATGACATGCTTTTCTTCATCTAATTTGGAATTTTACTGAGAATTACTCTCAGTAAGTCAGAATGTATTATTTGATTTGGTGTCTTACATACAGTAACTAATAGTTTATTAAGTGATAATTCAGGGATGTTGATGACTCGGGTATCTAATCTATACTGGTGCAGCTCATATCTCCAGAATCCTGTACTCACCTTAATTTTAAATAATTCCACATAAAAATGACTAGTGCTTGCATAGAAAATAGCAATGATAGTTTTTAGTTGTGCATGTTGATATTTTTTCTAAAAGGACTGTTTTAATTTTTTCCTGAAATCCTGATTCATAGTTAGTTTATTTCCCTCCCCTTTCATGGTTATTTTACTTTTAATTAGTTGTCACCTGTCCTTCATGTTTATGTAACTTTTCTTTTTATTCCTTAGTCTAACCATATATATGACTTTTGATCGTCTTCTGCCATAATATTTTATGTTACTGTTTTTCAAACTTAAAAACTGATGAAATAGCTACTAATGCCATCATCATATTACTGAATCAGTCGGTTAACTGGAACATGTTAAAATACCTACTTTATTCTACGTTTTATTAATGTTGCAATGATAAAGTATTCTGAACTTATTTAAGGGAAAATGTTTTTTTTTCTTTCTTTTTTTGGTTGTACAAGTCAAATGAAAAACTCTAGTCAACAAGTATTGAGGCATAAATCAATATAGTTTGAGCTATCAAGGAACAGTGATGGAAGGAGTTGAGATCTCGTAGGGAAACTAGTATAACCTGAAGGTTTGCATAAATCTAAGCAAGAGAATAATCCTGTAGTTAATTGGCCATGTCAGATGCATGCTAGGCAAAGGACTGTGGAAAAGATAGGAGTAAGGTGAGTTTAACAGAATATCAATTGATGTGTCATGGAAACAATATAAGCAACATGATACTTTGTCTCATTTGTTTGCTTTCAATCAAAGCATGTCCCATATGTTTGTATTGTTACTATTACCTTCTCTGTTTCTTACCTCAGTTCCCATTCATTGTTAAAGTAAATTGAATAGGAAGTTAGTACACTTTACCCCAATATGTGCTGTATACTATGATATAGACATGATTACTGTCTTCTAACACAAACCAAGACCAGTCTCAGTCAACTAAGTGAGGAACATAATACACAGGTTAAAAAATTATCATTTACATAGTATAAAACAGTGGTTTATGATTTGGTTTCTCACAGAGATGTGAGAAAAGCAAGATGAGAAATGTCTTTGGTATTACCACCTACCCTTCCAGGGGATTAGGATAGTTCTCAACCTTTTCTTCCCTGTGAGGTACATATAAGATAACATTCACATGTATGCCATACTCCCATGCGTGTACCCAACCAACCAGTCTTCTTAACTCCCCATTGCTATCTTTAACTGTACACAATATTAGAAAATGTTTTCAAAGTGAAGATATTTGTAGATTTTTATAAGAAAAGGGAAATTTCATGCTGAATATTTTGCACGGGAAGTTAATGCTAGAACTCTTGATTTCTGAGATGCTTGTATATATAGACAATTGCATTCTGAAATCTTTAAATTAATCCCTTTGAAAAAATTTTGTCCTCTTTGGTTATCTAATTTATAAAACACATATAAAAATCCTGTAGAAAAATCTTTTCCCATGAACAGATGTGTAAAAATAATATATATTTATTAGCATTAAGATGTAAGAAGTATAATTTCACCTCATTGTGGTTTTCATTAATTTCCATTATATAACTAGAATGTAATTTGTTAGATTTATTTTTCAGTAAAACCAAAATGATCTGTAGCTTAATCTGTTAGAGACACCTTTCACCCATTTTTGAGGTCTTATTCAAGTTGTTTGAGAGATTCTAGAAAATTTTTCTGTGTGAATTTCATAATTTATAGTGGTAAATATCGATTCATAAGATTTTTTTCTTAAAGAAAATACTGAAGCTGTTCTTAAGATGATATTTGCATAATAAATATTATATTATTAAAAATGAGCAAATGTTACAAGTTTTGTCTTTTGCACCAATCTTACAGAGTCATCAGCCTGAAGAAGAACTGTCAACCCAACCTGGAGAGCTTTCAGAAGAAGCCGAGGATGCTCCGTGTTGTAGCTTTAAACTCTTGGTTGAAGAAGAAGGTTATGAAGCAGATAGTGAAAGCAATCCTGAGGACAGTGAAACTTGGGATGACGGTAAAATATAAGGAAGTACTTGTGATTCGATTTGCAAGTCAGGTTATTAATTAACAAAATGGTTCATAATAATATTACTTTAGAATTTGTATTGCCTTACAATTTAAGAAGTGCACTGCATCATCATTTTATTGCACCTTCACAATGAATTCAGGCACTCTTGTTTGCGATTGAAAACACCAAGGTAGATTTTGTTATCACAGACATTGGCCTAAGAATAGAGGGGATAGAAAGTCCCTGCTTTCACATATTCTAGTGAAAATACAATAAGTAGCAGATGCAAACAGTATGAAGAAATGAAACAGGTGATTTGGTAGTGACTGGATAAGGAGAGGAGGCCTCTCTGAGGATGTTATGTTTACATTAAATAAAAAAGCTCTGTCCAGACAAACAGAGGAAGAGCATTTCACAGCCTTTTATTAAAATAAATAGATAAATAATATAAGGAATACAGACATCTTTTTGTGACTTTCAAGGATTTTGCAGTATATATTTCTTCTTATTTCACCACTGCCCAGCTTGTTCTTGGGGTGGAACCACGTTGCACAGCCCTGTGTCTCAGGTTAGACCTTGGGTGGAATGGACAAAATGGATTGATCAGAGCCAAGCAACTCTGGGTACGCTCCATCTTTTTATAGGCTAACCTTTGACTGTCCCACAACTGTGAGTCTTCACTAAGTTTACAGTAGCTTACCTTTCCCAAAGTCTGTTTTCTCTTGCCATCCAGTAAATGGGAATAATCACTGATGTCCTACTTAAAGGGCCTGATGGACCCATAGCAGGTGTTTTGTTTTGTTTTTACTTAAAAGAGTTAAAAAACACACACAAATTGATAGAATATATGTGTGTGTACTATATATATATATGTGTAGGGGTGGGAAAAGTAGGTTAATAATAAATAATACAATAATAATACAAGAATAAACTGTTTTGAATACAACTAAACCAACATTTGCCAACCCTGTGTACACATATACATACAGGTTACTTGATTCATTAAACTATTTTTTTTTCCAGTTTTTGAGATATAATTTACATACATTACTATATAAGTTTAAGATATACAGCTTGATGGTTTGATTTACATAGTGTGAAATGGTTACCACATGGGGTTAGTCAATAGCCAGCATCTCATATAGCTACAACAAAAAGAAAAAAATTTCTACTTGTGTTGAGACCTCTTAAGATCTGCTCTCACTCTCTTTTTTCTTTTAGTTAATCCTCACCTGAGGATATTTTTCCACTGATTTCTAGATAGAGTGGAAAGGAGGGAGGGAGAGAGAGAGAAGCATCGATGCGAGAGAAACACAATGATTAGTTGCCTCCCACATGACCCCTACCAGGGCCAGGAATTGAACCTGCAACCCAGGTACATGCTCTTGACCTGGAATCAAACCTTCAACTCTTCAGTCCATGGGCTGACGCTCTAACCACTGGACCAAACCAGCCCGGGCAAGATCTACTCTCTTAACAACTTTCTTATGTATCATACAGCAGTGTTAACTATAGTCACCATGTTTTACATTATATGCCTAGTGCTTATTTATCTTCTAACTGGAAGTTGGTACCTTTTGACCAGCTTCCTCCAATCCCCCTCCCTTGACCCCCCCTAGCAGGTGCTTTTGAAAAACTATTGGTTTAATGTTAAGTAAGTGTTGGTTTTATCAGGGTACAGTCATGGTTTTATAATCACAGATTTTCTCTTTTTTATAAGTTTGCTATCTAGATTTTAATTTAAAGAATTCTGATCTTGGTAGAGATTTATGAAATTCTTAACTATATGAACACTGTTTAAGAGCACAGTGGTCTCCTTTAAGAACATATAAGTTAAATTTCCCAAAATGTAATAGTTTAGTGAGACACTGTCTATTTCTCACTTATGAAGAAGAAAAAGTATGCAGTTTTTCCAACCCACAGAGATATGAGTAGGCAAATAAGTACCCTGTGATTTAGGTGTTTAGGGGTCACAAAATTTGGTATAGTATTTTTTCTTCATTGTGTCAGAGGGATGTGTTATGTCTGTATCATATGTCTATAAAACTTGCTGTTGATAATATTTGTAGTTCTATTGAAGATCAGAATTACTTAGAAGGCTACTCATTTATCTTCAAAATATCCATAAGACTTGCTTAATCAGGATATTTATCGTAATCAAAAGTTATGTTGTAGTAAAAGGTCTTGTGGACATCTTATAAATACTACTTTTGCCACAACAACTTTCAAATGATGAATGAGATTTGAAATATTTAGTCAGTGTTTAGGGAACAAAAATAATATGTTCTTTTCCCCTTTCAGGGGTAGACATAACGCCTGAAGCCGAAGATTTCATTGCTCCAGGCAGTCCAAGTGACTTACTTGAAAACCTCACTCAGGGGGAAATAATGTATCCTGAGATTTGCATGCTGGAATTGAATTTGCTTTCTACTAGTAAAGCCAAACTTGATGTGCTTGCCCATGTATTTGAGAGTTTTTTGAAAATCATCAGGCAGAAAGAAAAGAATATTTTTCTACTCATGCAACAGGTAAAAGATGCATTTAGTTAAATGAGACCAGTATTTATCTCACTCATGCCCCAATTACTCACCTCCTTGTTTATAACCCAACTTGTCTGAAAATTGAGATGATTGCTTATCTTTTATAATACCTTAGATGTATTTCTTAGCAACAAGTAGTAGTCTAAAAGTCTTCTAATTCCTCAGTTCTCTAAAGTAGCATAAAAATTAATGATGTCATTGACTAACTAATAATGAATCTTAGTTTATTTCTGAGAATGGGTAATATTTTTTAAATTGCATTTAATTTTAATATTTGGTCATTGTTTTTGAAAATTAGGAAACAAAAGCAGTATTGAAATTGCATGTAATCCTATGCATTGCCTTCTTTTTAGTCATTTTAAATATTTACATATGTATGTACAGTAGATTTTATTACACAGTTGCTTCATGCTTTCATGAGGTAAGAAATTTAACTTATGTTTTCTTTTTTAATCTTCAGGGAACTGTGAAAAATCTTTTAGGAGGGTTCTTGAATATTTTAACACAGGCTGATTCTGATTTTCAAGGTGCGTTGAAAATGTTAGTTTTAAACAGTAGTTTTGAAACTATTTTGTTGTGATGTGAGATGAAAAGTTGATAAAAAGGCTTCACTGGCATAGTGCTCTAATATTTTAAAAGTAGCTTTATATGCATCATCTCTTTTGTTCCTCAGACCCACCCAATGCAGTAGACATAGTACAAGTATCTTGGTTTTACAGAGAAATTCTAGATTCTAAGTGACTGAGTTGTTTGGAGTCGTGTACACAGAGGTGGCTTTACGAGGACCGTGGCCCAGTGTGAACACTGTACAGCTTGCTGCTTTATGAGATTGGTGGGGTCCTACTGTCTACTCTGCACTTTCACAGACAGTTGATAAATTCTTAGTGAAGAGATAATATGATTCTACTTTATATAATAGATAGAAACTTATATTTTAGTTGGAGAATTAAGGCTGACATACAGGACATGTTAATTTAAATTTGTTGGAGGCTTCCTGATAATTAATTCAAGTTAAGAATTTTTAGCAGACATACCAGAAGTGATTTGTGCCTTTCTCAGTGTATCATATCTAGAGGTTCATGATATCTATGTCTGATTATTGGTGATGTGGATTTTGATCACTTGGTTAAGGTGGTGTCTTGCCAGATTTCTCCATTGTAAAGTTCTGTTTTCTCTTTATAATAGTAAATATCTTGTGGGGAGATAACTTGAGACTGTGTAAATACCCCCTTTTTTTCCCATCGTACTTTAACCCATTGATTTTAACATCCATTGATGATTCTTGACTGAAATAGTTAATACTATGGTGTTTGCCAAATAGTGACTTTTTTTTTCTTTATTGATAGTAGAGAGAGAGAGGAAGGGAGAAGGAGAGATGGAAACATCAATGAGAGAGAATATCGATTGGCTGCCTCCTGCATGACCCCCACTGGGGATTAGGCCCACAACCTGGGCATGTGCCCTGACTGGGAATCGAACCATCAACCTCTTGGTGCATGGGTCGATGCTAAACCATTGAGCCACACCAGCCGGGCCAAATAGTGACTTTCTATTTTCTCTAATATTTATTAATTGGGATTGTACTCTGAGGAGAAGCTTCCCCTCTCCCCATGTTTTTATTTATTGTACTAGGCACCTAGTGGATTCTTTTGATCTGAAGACATTTCCGGCTTAGCTCTGAGAAATTCTATTCCATTATTTTTGTTAATCTTCACCCAAGAATATTTTTCCATTGACTTTTAGATGGAGTGGAAGGGAGGGAGGGGAGGTAGAGAGAGAAAGAAACATCAATGTGAGAGAGACACATCGATTGATTGCCTCCTGCATGACCTCGACTGGGGTCAGGGATTGAACCTGCAACCCAGTTGTGTGCTCTTAACCAGGAATCAAACCCAAGATCCTATGGTTGGTAGGCCAACACTCTAACCGCTGAGCCTAACCAGCCAAGGCCTATTCCATTATCTCTTAATAATGATTTTATTGAGCTAAGTTATGTACTGTTCACCCATTCAAAGCATACAATTCAGTGTTGTTTAGTGTATTCATAGAGTTGTGCCATTATCACAGTCAATGTTGGAACGTTTCATCACCCAGAATAACCCCATACTCTTTAGCAGTCACTTCCTATTACCTCATAGCCCTTCCCCTCACACCTCTCTCTGCCCTTGGCAATCACCAACCTATTTCCTGTCATAGATTTGCTATTCTGGATATTTCATAAGCAACTTGGCCAGACTGTAGTTATACCTGGTAACCCTTGTGGAACATCCTACTGTACATCTCAGCTTTGCCTGGCAATTCATTCAGTTTCTTTAGAGAAGAGTTATCAGGTTTGGGGTGTAAAGGTAAAAGCTAAACTATCTGTTCTCCATACTCAGAAGCAAGGAGAGGAGTGGATGTTCACAGACAGATCCTTCATTAATCTCTGTGTTGCAGCCCTATTGTTACTTGCTCTCTAGATTTTAGACAGATTGGCTCTCCACTCCAAGCCCCTTTGTAATGCAAAGAGATTCTAGGCTGCAGCTTTCTCTTTTATTTACTCTTCCATTTTCCAGAAATATATTTAAATCTCTCACCTGATGTGCTCCCAAGTGCATACTGCCTCCACCACTTTTTTGTTGTTGTTGTTGTTATGAGTTTCTTTCTTTTTGTAACTCTGCACTTTTTGTTCAGTGAGTTTCCAGTGGTAAACAAAGGCAAATACTGTGTGTGTGTGTGTGTGTGTGTGTGTGTGTGTGTGTGTGTGTGTGCATGCCTCCATTTTGAACTGGAATCTGTAAGTTTTGAACTGAAAACAGAATTTAAGCACATGCCTTTTACTTTGATCATATTTTGTTCTTACTCTCAAACCTTTAATGGAGTCATGTTAATTACAGGGTAAAGTCCATGCTACTTAGAGTCTTGTTGCAAGTTTCCTTCCAGTTGTATGGACTTGTTTAGTGCTTCTGCTGAATATGTGGCCCTACATGGCTCTGTCCTCAGGCTGCTCAGTAGGGTTATTATTGTCATGTCTCAAATGGAGGTAATGTTTAATTTGTAGGACTTTCTAGGGGGTGAAGAACAGCCGAGATAATGTATTCAAATATACTTTGAATAAAGTTCTATGAATTTGTGTATAACTGATTATATTTTATGCTAAAGGTAAATAAATGGAACTGATTCCAAGTCCCTTGGAATCTATATTTTATTCCCATGATAGAATAAAGAAAATGTTCAAACTAATTATTTGTGACATTTGTTTTCATAATCTTTAATATTTCTATTTTTATTTGTCATCTAATTTTCTATTTAGAAAGTGAAAAATATAATGTGAACATTTTCAAGATAAGACTATTTTATGGTACTGAACAGTGTCAACAAATACTGTATATGCTTCTTTTTGAAAATTAATAAATTAATTTTTAATTGAATTAATTGGGGTGACATTGGTTAATAAAATTATATAAGTTTTAGGTATACAATTCTATAATACATCATCTGTATATTGTATTGTGTATTCACCACCCCAAGTCAAGTCTCCTTCCATCACCATTTATTTATCCCCCATTATCCTCTTCTACCTTCCCCCACTCTCGTTTCCCTCTCGTGATCACCATACTGTTGGCTGTGTCTATGAGTTTTGTTTTTTGGTGTGGGTTTTGTTTTTGTGTTTGTTTTTGCTTAATCCTTTCAACTTTTTATGCTTTTTAAAATAATACCTTTACCTGACTTGGAGCTAACCAATCATTAAGAAAAGTAATTTTGTTGTTTTTTGTTGGTTGGTTAGTTGGTTTGCATTTAATCGTATTGTTATCAGATTGTTTATAATTCATTTAAATGTGACAAGAGTATTTGATCTTTTGTAGTGAAATTGTTTATTCTGTTTCTTTAATTGTGTATTTGGCTTTAATTTTTTCCTCTATCTCCTTTAATTTAGCATGCCAGAGAGTATTGGTGGATCTTTTGGTATCTTTGATGAGTTCAAGAACATGTTCAGAAGAGCTAACCCTTCTTTTGAGAATATTTCTGGAGAAATCTCCTTGTACAGTAAGTATGCTATAATTTAACATTTTTCCACTGATATTTAATAGAATATTTTTTAAAGTATTTAAAAATCACAAAGCTCTCTCTTTTGGTGTTGTAATTATTATACAGTCAACTTCGTGTAATTATTTGTGATTTTCAATTCTTTTATTATTGACACATATTTTAACCATTTCACTTCTGTTTGGCTAATCAGACATTTCAGTGGGATCATAGTCCATTTACCACAACCCCCCCCCCCCCCCCCCCCACATAATTTTTGTGCTTAAGAAATGCTAAATAGCCCTGGCCAGTTTGGCTCAGCGGTTAGAGCGTCGGCCTGCGGTCCGGAGAGACCCGGATTCGGTTCTTGCTAAGGGCACGTACTTCGGTTGCAGTTTGTCCCCGGCCCTGGTTGGTCGTGTGGGTGGCAGCCACTCGATGTGTCCCTTCACGTCGATGTTTCTCTCTCTCTCTGTTCCTCTCTCTCCCTCCCACTCTATCTGTACAAAAAAAAAATGGAACAATATCCTCGGGTGAGGATAAAAAAAAAAAAAAAAGAAATGCTAAATAATTTTAATTACCAAAAAGAACTTAATTATGAGTAATTATAACCATTCTGAGAATTAATCTGTTTTTAGAAAAGCATTATTCACTCTTCCACTGTATTCTATCACTTCTCTTCATGGGTGTAGTGACTTTTAGACTGTTCTTTGCTGAAGAATCCATGTTTATAATGAAGTATTGACTAGAAGCATAAGCAGATAAATCAGAAAACCTTGGAGCTACTTCCTTTGAAGCAAGATTGATGTTCCTGGGCCCGGAGCATTCAACCAGCCCCAGCCTGTGGAGCCTGAGGGAGCTCTGTGGAGCTCGAGCTTAAAAACCACTTGTGTAGACAGTTGGGAACCGACTGGTTTATGGAATGTTCCTGTTACTCTTTATGAGAGTCTTTCTCATCATAACCAACATCAGGTGTTATTCTGTGCATGAGTAGGGCTTTGTACTTAATTGTACTTAAGGTTAATCTTCTGTTTTTTAACTTGTCTCCTTTGTCATTGCTTTTCACTTTAATTAAATGTTCATTTCCTCTCTTATCTTTTCTATCCATTTTACATTTCAGTTTAACTGAAAACTTGTAATTATAAATAAAACCTAAACTCTTTATTTTAGTTTACCAAGCACAGATGAAAACATTTTTATTTGATTATGGGAAAGGCATGTAAAATAAATTAGAAGGTAATTGAGCACTCAGTTTTATTAAGTCAGTCATGCTGCAAATGTTACTCAGAAATCCGGAGATTTTTGTAAGGTCTCTGGTTCTAGCCCTCATTTAAAAATATTTGAGAGAAGCAACTATAGTCTTCTTTGGAATAAACATCTTTCTTTGGTAGAAATGATTTCTGGTATAATTATTGGGTTTAATATCTAATACTTAAGGCCAACTCATAACTTTTAGGTTTGTACCATAAAAGCATCTAAATCTAATACAAATTAACCACAAGAGAGTACACATTTTAAAAATAAAGTCTCTCATATTTTATCTAAACTATACAAAAAATGAAAATGGTGACATGGTAGACAGGAGGTGTTTAAATAGGAATGCCAGTATGTGTATGGGTGTGTTTATGTGTTCATTTATAACCTGAATTTCAAGAGTATTATGTGCCTGTAACATGACTATGAAGTTTTTTTTGTTTTTCTTTTTCTCTAGGAAATTCTTCTTCTGGGTATTCTGAAAATTGTTGAAAGCGATATTGCTATGAGCCCTTTACAGTATCTAACCTTCCCTTTGCTGCACACTCCGAATGTAAGCAGTGCTGTTTCATCACAAAAGTGTCCTGGGATTCTCAACAGTAAGGCCATGGGATTATTGAGACGAGCACGGGTTTCCTGGAGCAAGAAAGAGGCTGACAGGGACGGTTTTCCCCAGCAGCTGCTCTCCTCTTGGCACGTAGCCCCAGTGCACCTGCCGCTGCTGGGACAGAACTGCTGGCCGCACCTTGCAGAAGGCTTCAGCGTTTCACTGTGGTTCAACATGGAGTGTGTCCTTGAAGCTGAGAGTTCCACAGAAAAACTAAAGAAGATCAGGAAAAGAAAGAAGTCATTAATTTTTCGGGATAGTAGTTTTGATGGAACAGGTACGACGACAACTGTTGCAGAGGTCACCAGCCCCACTTTCTGCCTCTCTCCTGGTCTTGTTCCTGGATTCGGGTGGTTCCGATGTTAGCCACGTTTCCATCCTGCTGCTGCCCAGGCCACTGGTCAGCCCCATCTCCTCTCCTCTCTCTTAGTCCAGGCTCTGCTTCTCAAGCTGTATCTTACCTCCGTGCCCTGCTCCCAGTTCTTATCACAGAATGTTTGACTGCATCAGCCATTTACATTAAGTGAGGGTAACCATAATGTAAACAGTCTCTTATAAAATGAATACATATGCACAGTGATCTGAGAAAAGTGGGTATTGGGGAAATTTTTGAAGTTTTTTGTAATAAATATGTATTAGAACACATTTTAGAAAGATGATTTTACATAAGCATTTAAAAAGAATATTTTAAAATGGTAACATTAAAATGTTGAAGATAGAAGACAATATTATAGTGATAACACCTCCTTTGCCACTAAACCAGCTGAGCACGTCAGTTTTGTCATCCTCAAAATGGGGATAATATTTACCTCATTAGATTGTTGTAAACATTAAATTAAGAAATATTTGTGCCCTGGCCAGTTTGACTCAGCAGTTAGAGCATCAGCCTGCAGTCCAGAGAGACCCGCTAAGGGTTCGGTTCCCGTTAAGGGCATGTACCTCGGTTGCAGTTTGTCCCAGGCCCTGGTTGGGTCATGCGGGTGGCAACCATTCTATGTGTTTCTTTCACGTCGATGTTTCTCTCTCTCTGCCTCCCACTCTATCTGAACAAAAATTGGAAAAATGTCCTCGGGTGAGGATTAAAAAAAAGAAATATTTGTAATACTCCTACTCTACAATTCCTGGGTACGTGCTGCGTTCTTTTTTGTCTTTAATTAGTACAAGTTCAGATTTGATATGGAAACTTGTTAAAATATCACATCACATATGAATTCTCTATACATCTTATATCTTGGACAATAGTCTTAACAATAATCAATGAATTGAACTCTTTTTAAAAAGACTTATCATTGCTAGGGGGCATATTCTTAAAAATTAGTGGTTATGTGTGCTGAAAAATGACAACAAATATATATGCAAACAAATAACTGGTGTTGTTCATCTTCTCTAAAAGTCTGAGCCTTTGGACATGCATTTTGTATTTCAGTACATCTTAACATAGCTTAACATAAACTTATGTGTCATGGCCATAAGGTAGATGGATGGCTTGATGATTCAGCTCATCAGACCTGTTCAGGCAGTACTGGGTTTTAAGTGGTGAGAAAGGTAAGTCAGGATGAAAAAAACATACAGCCCAAAGCTTAGAGCATTTACCTTAGTCTGTCTTAGAAAAACTGTTTAGAGTTTCAGAAACACTTAGCAGTTGCGTTCAAAGATCACCCATCATGGAATATATTCAAGCACAATTTTTCTAAAAGGAATTTTAATATGATCAACTTTTAAAAATCATGCTGTCATAATAATTATACAATGGTTTTTGGTAGTACAGGGCCTGTGACAGTGGTGTATGCTCCTTGGGCTGAGGTCCCTGGTGTCATAGTGGCCCAATCCAATCCATAAAAGAATTATGGCACAGATTTTAATAATTTACTGTGGTGACATCACAGTTGGTCGATTAATTCCTGCAATTAGTCCTCAGTTATCATACATTTTATTTATATTATTTTCTTTATTTTTATTGTTGACACTATTATAGATGTCCCCATTTCCACCCCCACACACACCCTTTGCCTGCCTCCACCCAGACCCTGACCCTCCCCTTCCTTCTGACCATCACCACACTGTTGTCTGTGTCTATGGGATACGCATGTATGTTCTTTGGCTAATCTCTTCACCTTCTTTGATTCAGTCCTCCCCTCTTTCCTCCCCCCTGACAGCTGTGAGTCTAGTCCATGTATCCATGCCTCTGTTTCTGTTTTGTTCATCAGTTTATTTTGTTCATTAGATCCCATATATTAGATCATATGGTATTTGCTTTCTCTGACTGACTAATTTCAATTAGCATTAAAACTTATTAAATATTAAAAAAATATTTTAAAGCATTTAATAACTTTTAATGCACTGAGTTACTATTTTCACTCCTGGTGCTTTTTGGGAATTAATATCTAAACTTTGGAAATGCTGCTGTTTGGAAGAGGCCAGGTTGAGACACTCTGGGTAAATAATTTACTACAAATAAACAACCATGCTTTGTATTCTTTTAAATTCACTTTTCCGCTCAATTTTTATCAACTGCTTTACTGATCATTCTAACATCTTTTTATTATAGAGACCAACAGGCCAGAAGGTGCAGAGTACATAAATCCTGGTGAAAGACTCATAGAAGAAGGCTGTATTCACATGATTTCACTGGGATCCAAAGCACTGATGATCCAAGTGTGGGCTGATCCCCATACTGGCACTTTCATCTTTCGGTATTGATTATCCCCAACCCCAATGAGTAGATCGTGTATTTAAATAGTTTATGTAGCCCTGGCCAGTTTTGCTCGGCGGTTAGAGCATCAGCCCGTGGACCAGAGAGTCCTGGGTTCGATTTCCGCTAAGGACACATACCTCCATTGCTGTTCATCCCTGGCCCCGGTTGGAGTTGTGTGGGTGGCAACAAATTGATGTGTCGCTCTCATGTCGATGTTTCTCTCCTCTCTTCCTCCCTCTCTCCCTCCTGCTCTATCTGAAGATAAATGCAAAAATATCCTCAGGTGAGGATAAATAAATAAATAGTTTATGTAAAGAGACTTAAGTGTGACATCTGCTAATAAAGATCATTACAGCAAAACAAAAATCTTATTTAAAAAGGAGATACATCCTAACAGTTATTAATACCAGTTAATACTCTGAAACAATGTATTCTATCTAACAATCTATAATTAAACTCTTAAGTAGATTATGTTAATTCTCAATCAGATTTTAGACCAAATCCTTACTGAAGTCCTAACTATGGAAGTATTCTGTCAGATTGCAGTGATCTTAAGATGTTATTAATATCAGACAGCTGTTTTCCATGCAGATTATATATTTAATAGCCATTATCTAATAAGTTTAAGATCTCCTTGCTATCTTGTCCCTCTTTCCTGACTCCTTTGTTAACTAGTTTAGATACAAATCTTTTATTTGTGTTGAGTGAGTATGAATAGTATGGGACTATTTTTATAAAACTTAAAACTAAGTAAACAATGTTATTTAGGGATATATGCTTTGAAAAGGTTATAAAGGTTACTAGGTACTGTATATACAATACATCCCAATTCTCTCAGCAATTCCTCAAAGTAGGTTAGACCTCCAGCACATCCTTGTCATTTAGATATTTATGTGCAACATGTATTAATCTTTGTATGAACTAAATATTACATTGGGATTTCTAAAAGGGCAAAGACTATAAAGAGTAATGATATTTTTTTTGCAAATTGAATTCTGAAAATTATTGCCTAAATTATTAACACTAACAAATGATCCTAATCTATTTTAGTTCATGAATTGAGGTAATAATATAATAAAATAACTAGCAGATTATGGTATAAAACAAAGACCTTCTGACTTTTCACATTAGTTTAAGAATAGAGCTGATTTTTAATCTCATTTAAATATCTACAATTATAGTTATTGTGCATGTGTTGAATGCAGAGATCTGAAATTCCATGTTTTCAGCCTGTACCTTTTCTCTCCGTGTAGCATGTGCGTGGATTCAAATGATGATGCGAAAGCTGTTTTACTAGCTCAGGCGGAATCACTGGAGAATGTTTTCCTCCCAAGCAAATGGCAACATTTAGTACTCACCTACTTACAGCAGCCCCAGGGGAAAAAGAATATTCATGGGGAAATCTCCATATGGGTCTCTGGACAGAGGTATGAAACATTTTTAGTAAATACTTATTAATCCCAGTTACAATTTTAAGGTTAGGCTGTTATAGCTTCTAAAACAGATTATAGAAAACTATAGATAAAATTTACTATATATTAATATAGGAACCTAGGTCAGAGTTGAATATTTTCCTTTTTATCACTTCCATACAAAATTAATTTCACATTGAAGTAATTGTTGAAAATTAGTATTTGGGTTTGAGAAAACAATACAGGAATAGGGACATTTAAACATTTATGTGGAATCTATATTAGATCAAGGTCCTTCAAGCTTATTTATAATGAAATTAATTCAGAAGGATTATTTAAATTAAGTGACTAATAAGGTTAATGTCTAAATTAAAACAGGGATTCAAAAGAAATTAGAAAGACTAGAGAAAAATATAAACCAATGAATTGAGTGATAGATTAAGATAACGACCTAGAAACATACCAGGTAACAGATTGAGGTGTAGTAAGTACTACAGGATTTTTACTGACCAGGAGAATTATGGGTCAAGTTAATAAGAAACATTTTCTGGAATATCTTAATGTAAAATGTAACCCTGAGAAAGCTATAGGGTATTTGGATTTGTAAGAGCTGGGAAATATTTTATTGAATGAAATACCATGAAAGGGAATACAGAACTGAAAATTAGTGTGGCCTGGGAGAGAGTTGAGATGGCTGGAGGGAACAGTCTGAGTTGAATAATGAGAAGGAAAAACGAGTGGGCGTGGTGAAGCTACCTGAATGTCACGATGGGGAGTCTGGACGGTAAAGCACTGCATACCAGTTGTGCTGCAGATCTTTTACTAGGTACTTTATATACATCATCTCCCAGTTCTCTCAAAAATTCCTCCAAGTGGATTAAACTACAGAAATAAATAATATACCCTTAGCACAGATTAACCCCTTTTCATTCATTCATTCATGTGTTCATCTAGCACATATTTCTGTGTGTGCCAAGCACGTGCAATGTTAGACTGGGAGCAGTGGTAACAGAACAGCCACACCCAGTGCCTTCTTGACTTCACAATATAATGAGGAAGCAGACAATAAGCAAGAAAACATACAAATTGTGAATGAAATTGTAAATGAAAACATACAAATTGTGGCAAATACTGTGAAGGTAACAAACAGGTCCCGAGACAGAAAATGTCAGGTCTGTGATTTCAGAGAGGTGGATCAGGGAAGACCTCTCCAGGAACGAATTATTCAAGCTGACTCAGGAGGAGATGGAGGTGCCATGAGCAGGAGAGAGGCTGAGCATCCAGGCAGAGAAAAGGCTGCTGGAGACAAGGAGAGGCCTCCGCACTAGAGGAGGGCAGAAGAAGGGTGTGGTCGTCCGAGTGCAGCCAGTCCAGTGTCGGCCCCAGGAGGGAACAATCAAGGGCTTCGTTTTGTTTATTCATTAAAATATATGAAAACATGTCTTTGAGGCTTAATTTCTGTATTCCAAATAAATTTTTTTTGAGAAACTCAGTCTTCACAACTGCCTAAGTCTGAATGGCAGCTGCAGCCAACCAGTAAGTTTGTTTCTAGAACCTTGATTTAGATGGGTTAGAGCTGGGGTACCTCTTTCTCTTAGACTCTCTCCTCTTGTCTTGAACTCTCAGATGTGCCCGATGACCTCCGTAGGCCTCCCATCAGCACTGTGAAGTAGGTATATTATCCTCTTCTACATGTGAGGCACCTGAGACCCAGAGTAGGGAAAGTCACTGACCCAAAGTCATGGCACCAGTAAGGGGTACAGCTGAAAATTGAACCTACAACCTGACCCTAGACAGCACCCACATGTTTAAACCCTAGGTTTTGCTGCCCCTACAGCATTTTTCTGAATCAGGCCAGCTGACAGGTACAGGAATCATGAATTAATTATTAGATATGTTCAGAGTGAGAGCTTAGATGTTCACTGTGGACATTTCTGAGGTTAGTGAACATAGTCACTTGATTCACATACCACTATTTTTGTTGTTGTTAATCCTCACCCGAGGGTATTTTTTCCATTGATTTTTAGAGAGAGTGGAAGAGAGGGAGGGAGTGGGAAAGAGAAAGAGAGTAGAGTGAAAGAAAGAGAGAGATCGATTGGTTGCCTCCCACATGCCCCCTGACCAGGGCTGGAGATGGAACCTGCAACCCAGGGACATGCCCTTGACTGGGAATCAAACCTGAGACCCTCTGGTGCATGGGTCGATGCTCTAACCATTGACCCACACCAGCCAGGGCCACATACCACTATATTTTTACCCACCCATTTATTTCTACATTTCCTTGAAGGAACATTTTTGCCATTTGATACAAGTTAATGACTTCATTGTTAATCGAATAATGAGCAAGTGACCAAAGACAAAAGTATTATTCTGTTGATTGAAATTTAGTACTATCTTTATCACTTTCAGATCTAATAGAATAATTTCTACAAATAATACATTTTAAGAGGCCATTTTAATTATAATGACACTGAAAAACAACTTATTAATATTTTCTATTAATTTATATTTAACGAACAGCACACAAATTTGATAGGAATATATAATACATAGTAGTTACTTAATATTTGTTGAATTCATCTTTCTTTGATCATATACTAAGGTTTATTTACCCTTAAAAATTATATTGTTATATTGCCACTAGGTGTCAGTAGTGTTTCAGTCACAGCTCTTTGGTTCAAGAGACATGTCATGCACCTAATGGAAGTTATTTCTAATGGGTCATTTAAACCTCAGTTTTAAAAAGTTATCCCATGTATTTCTTTTATTAAAAATAATTCCTATAAATAGTCAAATTTATGTTAAATGTGAAATACAAAGCCTTAGGGAAAAGTTTTTAAATAAACATACACCAAAGTAGAATTTCTCATTAAGATTAGCTAACCAGATTAGTTTATTCCAAGTCTTTATCTTAATCCCACACTTTGCCTTTGTAAATTACCTTCATTATCTTCAGATGGAGTTTAAAACATTCCTAAACTAGGGGTAGAGCCTAGCACTCTGCAGTTTCAACTAGATGATGAAGTCCTCCCATCATGTGTTTCTATGAGAAAGCCTTACTTGACCTTTTCCTGTAAGGATTCCTGTAAAAACAAGACTAATCAAAAGCTCTGTAATGACTCAGCATTGAAAAAAATTAGAAAATTCAAAAAAGCGCTGGCATTTTCGTCAGAGCAAAACCTAAGAAGTGATATATTTTTTTCTGAATAGTCTTTGGCCTCATAGAGGACCTGAGATTGTAGGAATTGTTTATCAAAATGGGAGTCATCTTGGTAAAATTAGGGGAAAATGGTTGGGTTGTGTCTGCGTATGCGGAAGTCAGATGGCACAGAAAACTTCTAGTAGATGTCAGGTCACTTCCCATGGCCTGATTTGGGTCCTCAGGCACCTTTATCCTGTTCCCCAGTTTCTGGGCCTTCCAGACATCAGCACCTTAGACCAAGACAACAGAATTCATTCTCTTTCTTCCCATTACCAACTATTTGATACCGAACCAAGAAAACTGTTCAAGAATTTCCCATTATTTAACACTCATACTTAAAAAATACTTAGTGCCTAGTCTTCACTAAAGTAATTGATTTAACTTTGTTTTTAATGTAGGAAACCTGATGTTACTTTGGATTTTATGCTTCCAAGGAAAACAAGTTTGTCATCTGATAGCAATAAAACATTTTGCATGATTGGCCATTGTTTATCATCCCAAGAGGAGTTTTTGCAGTTGGCTGGAAAATGGGACCTGGGAAATTTACTCCTCTTCAATGGTATATTTTTCCCCTTTGAAGCATTTTTTAATTTTTCTTTCAGTTAAAAAATATTAAACTAAGTAAATTACCTTGGATAAAATATTAATCCCTGTTTCTTTACTCATACTTAATAAGTACAGTATTTCCTAGATTTCAAGATGGCTTGTAAAATACTTTAACATTTTTATAATCTAAATGTTTCTTATAATTGACATATACATTTAATGCAGCGATATACTTCTTACCCACTACCCCCCAAAATGAAGCTTATATTAAATCAACTTTATTTTGTTATCCTGGAAAATGCAGTATCATGACAGGTAAACTTAGAATGGTTGTCTCTTTTATAATTTCAGTATATTCTATAAAAATACCAAAATTTAAGGAAAAAAGAAATATTTGACTTAAAAAAATACATCATCAAACCTCCTGACACATAGTAGCATTCAAACAGTGTTTATTGAATAGATGGGTGGATGGAAGGAATAAAGATATCAATTCACATTTCATTTTTAAAAGGAATTTACCGAGGTATACTTTCCATTGAAAAACAAAACAAAACAAACCCCACCACACCCCCTGTTTTATAGTTTAAGGAACAAATAGAAACTTTATGATTTTATCTTATCAAGAGCTAATTATATAAATTATTTTTCCATTGACTTGGAAATTGAGGCTTTAATCAATTTTATAAGATATAATGAACAATAATCTGGCATAAAAAATTCTTGGCTTTTTGCTTTTTGTGGAAAATTCCGGTTAGAATGTTTTATATAAGAAACTATGTTTTTATGTTTTTGCTATTCAGGAGCTAAGATTGGTTCACAAGAGGCCTTTTATCTATATGCTTGTGGACCCAACCACACATCCATAATGCCGTGTAAATATGGCAAGCCTGTGATTGACTACTCCAAGTATATTAGTAAAGAAATTTTGCAATGTGAACAAATCAGAGAACTTTTTATGACCAAAAAAGATGTGGACATTGGTCTCTTAATCGTAAGTTTTCATTTTATGTTTAACTTTATAGTAACTGTACATATGTATGTTTCTTGAATATGTAACTAGCTATGAATAAAACCTCTAATGTTTTTTGTTTTTGTTTCTCAACATTTTCTTTCTTCAGAATATGGGTTTGTTTGTTTTCTGGAAAATAAATTAGAATACGTTGACTTCAGAATTTGTTTTCAGGTTTCAAATTTTCATCCCTTTTCCCTAGAAATATAGTTGTTTACTAAGTTTAGTTTATATGTATTAATCATTTAAGAAAAATGTTTATGATACAGTGAATATATAACACATTAGCTTAAAAATATTGCTCATTATATTTCTTTTCTATACTTAATAATAAATGCCAGGTTTTATATTTAATTTTAATTACATATATTCAGATTTTAGAATATTCTTATTTTTTCAGTTTGGGTAGCCCTTTGAGCATCTTTAAATTGATATATAATTCACATGACATAAAATTCACCCTTTTAAAGTATACAGTTAATGGATTTTGGTGTAATTACAGGATTGTGCAACCATCACTGGTCTCTCACTTCAGTGCATTTTCATCAGCTTAAAAGGAACCCTATAACCACAAGCAATCTTTCTCCCCCATCTCCTCCTTCTTCCAGCCTCTACCAACCATTGATCTACTTTCTGTCTCTAGATTTGCTTATTCTGGACATTTCATATAAATGAAGTCATACCATATGTGATCTTCGGTGACTGACTTCTTTCAGTCAAAATAATATTTTCAATGCTCATCCATGTTGTGCATGAATTAATACTTTATTCTTTTTATGGTTGAATGATATTCCATTGTATGGATGTACCATGTTTCGTTTATCCATTCTTCAGATGATGGACATTCTGGAATATTCTTACTCCCGCTATTTACATGGCCTCCTTCTTTCTCTTTTTTTATTGTTGATGCTATTACAGATATTCCCCCATTTTCCCACTTTTTCCCCCTCCCCCAACCCTCCCCAGCCTTCACCACATTGTCTGTGTCCATGGGCCATGCATACATGCATATATGTTCTTTGGCTAATCTCGTCTAGTACCCCCCACTGTCCTCCCCTCTCAGATCTGTCAGTCTGTTCCACCTATCCATGCCTCTGGTCCTACTTTGTTCATTAGTTGATTTTGTTCATTAAATTCCACATATAAGTGAGATCATATGGTATTTGTCTTTCTCTGATTTGCTTATTTTGCTTAGCATAATGATCTCCAGATCCATTCATGCTATTGCAAAGGGTAAGAGCTCCTTTTTTTTATAGCCACATAGTATCCGTTGTGTAAATGTACCACATCTTTTTTACCTACTCGTCTGCTGATAGGCACTTGGGCTGTTTCCAGATCTTGGCTATTGTGAATAACCCTGTGAACATAGGGGTACATATGTTATTTGTGATTGGTGCTTCAGAATTCTTATGCTCAGAGTGGGATCGCTGGGTCAAACAGCAGTTCCATTTTTGTTTTTTGAGGAAACTCCATACTGTTTTCCATAGTGGCTACATCAGTCTGCATTCCCACTAGCAGTACACTAGGGTTCCCTTTTCTCCACACCCTCGCCAGCACCTGTTGTTTGTTTATTTATTGATAGAAATAAAATTTTAAAAAAAGGATGTTATTCATCAGATAGAGTGGGAGGGAGGGAGGGAGAGAGAGACCAAGAGAAACATCGATGTGAAAGAGCCACATCAACCGGTTGCCTCCTGCATTACCCGACCAGGGCCAGGGATGAACCGCAACCGAGGTACGTGCCCTTGACCGGATCAAACCCGTGACTCATTGGTCTATGGTCCAATGCTCTAACCACTGAGGAAAACTGGCCAGGGCTCTATTGGCCATTTGTGTGTTCTCTTTGGAGAAGTGTCTGTTTGGGTCCTTTGCCCATTTATTCTTTAATATCAGTAACAACTAGGAATTTTGCTTTCAAAATATTGCTAACTTTGCTTATATGAGACTTTCAGATTGCTTTTTATATATTATTTTAATATTTTATTCTGTTAATATATACTCCTGGCTGGTTTGGCTCAGCAGTTGGAGCATCAGCCTGTGGACTAGGGAGTCCCGGGTTCGGTTCCCACAAGGGGCATGTACCAAAAAAAAATAATAATAACAATAATAATATATACTTTAGGAGCTTGTGAAGGATAGTTTTTATTATAGAAGCTAGAAAACTGAGCCTTTATGGTCTTAGAAGATTATCTGCAAACTGGTAGAGGTGGCCATCCCATTATGTTCCTCCTTGTCTTGCTTCTTACGAGAGGTGCAATGATAGGGCAGAGAGATTTCTTTCTGAAGGAGGCTACTGTTTTGGAATGTATTTTGTTGTTGTTGTTAATGAGGTGTATATTTCACAATAAAAATAAATTGTATTTTAATTTTGTTAACATTTGACCATAGTAAAAAAGAAATTCCTAGTACAGACATTTTATAAAACATTTCTAAGTCTTAGGTGGTGTTAAATATATATCTGTGCAAAGTAGATGTAGATCCCTATGGAAACTAAAGGTCTGACATCACACATGTGATCTTTTTCTCCCTAAGGAGTATTTTAAAAATGGGTTTGGGAGCATTTGGGCTGTCCACTATTTTTGGCTGGGGGCCAGGGGTGCCCAGTGTTCTGCGTGGGCCGTGTTATACAGCAGAGAATTGTCCTACCACTGAAAAAACAAGCTTCAGGAAAGCAGGCCTCAAACCTGAGTGTGCCTCAGAGTCACCAGACGACTTGTTAAAATGTGGATTGCTGGGCCAGAGTTTCAGAGTCAGGATGTCTGAAGTATGGCCAAGAATTTGCATTTTTAACAAATTCCCAGGTGATGCTGATGCAGCTGGTTGCAGACCACACATGAGACCAAGGAGCTCACACAAGTTGTTCAAGAAGAACAAGTAACTCTCTAGTTTTTAGTTAATCCATTTGTTTTTACACACTCCCCAAATTTTCTTAATCCTTTTATTTTGCCTGAAAAGAATATTGGTATATAAGTTGTAAAATTCAACATAAATTATCACAAATTAAAACTCTATGAATTTTATGTGAAAACTTTTTAGAAAGTATTTTAGGCCTGATCCAGTAATTTGGGGTTTGAGGTCCTGAGTGAGCAGCCAGGCTGAGATGGTACCTCCTGGCAAGGTGTTGTCAGGTGGGACTGGTTCAGGTACACAGGCATCCGGGCAGGTCTGAGGAAAACTATCCAGGGTTAAAAGTTTGCTTCACCAGCCTAATCATCTAGATTAGACATCCAGGTCAGTGTAGTTGGTATGCAGATATGCTAAATGGTGTCTGATCGAACTGCCCTTAAATCACTGAGGGCTCCCTCAGCCTCTGTAAGAAGAAACTGGGTGGGCAGTTTGTGGTTTCCCTAAGCCTGAGCTCTTCCCAGTGTATTCTGCATTTTAAAATACCAGAACTTGCCCTGGCCGGTTTGGCTCAGCGGTTAGAGAATCGGCCTGCGGTCCGGAGAGACCCGGGTTCGGTTCCCGCTAAGAGCATGTACCTCGGTTGCAGTTTGTCCCTGGCCCTGGTTGGTTGTGCGGGTGGCAGCCACTCGATGTGTCCCTTTCACGTCGATGTTTCTCTCTCTCTCTTCCTCTCTCTCCCTCCCACTCTATCTGTACAAAAAATGGAAAAACGTCCTCGGGTGAGGATAAAAAAAAAAAAAAAAAATGCCAGAACTTTTCTTTTATATTCTATTATTTTTATTTTTTTTATGTTGAAAGTATTACATATGTCCCTCCCTTTTCCCCTCATTGATCCCCTCCTCTATGCTCCCATCCCCCTCCTGCTTTCCCCAAACTATTGTCTGTGTCCATTGGTTGTGTATATATGCATATAAGTATTTGGTTTATCTTTTCCCAACCCCCACACTCCCCTTCCCCTTGAAGTTTGTCGCTCTGTTCCCTGCTTCCATGTCTCTGGATCTGTTCTGATGGACAGCTTATTTTGTTCATGATGTTCCCTAAATAAGTAAGATCATGTGGTACTTGTCTTTCTCTAACTGATTTATTTTGCTTAGCATAATACTCTCCAGATCCTTCCATGTTGTCTCAAAAGTAAGAGATCTTTCTTTCTTACAGCTGCATAGTATTCCATTGTGTAAATGTAGCACAGCTTTTTTATCCAACTCATCTACTGATGGACACTTGGGGTGTTTCCAGATCTTAACTATTGTAAATAACATTGCTATGAACATGGGGTGCATATACACTTTTTGATTGGTGTTTCAGGCTTCTTAGGGTATATTCCTAGAAGTGGTTTCATTGGGTCAAATGGCAGTTCAATTTTTAAGTTTTTGAGGAAACACCATATTGTTTTCCATAGTGGCTGCACCAGTCTGCATTCCCACCAGCAGTGTACTAGAGTTCCCTTTTCTCCCCACCCTCGCCAGCACTTGTTTGATGATATGTTGATGGCAGCCATTCTGGCAGGTGTGAGGTGGTACCTCATTGTTTTTTTAATTTGCTTCTCTCTGAGGATAAGTGGTGTTGGGCATTTTTTCATATGTCTCCTTGCCATTTTTATGTCCTGTTTGGAGAAGTGTCTGTTCAGGTCTTCTGCCCACTTTTTCTGTTGTTGTTGTTGTTGTTGTTAATCCTCACCCGAGAATAGTTTTCTATTGATTTTCAGACAGAGTGGAAGGGGAGAAGGGGAGAGAGAAAAACATAGATGTGAGAGAGACACATCAACTGGCTGCCTCCCACACGACCCTGACGGGGTCCAAGAATCAAACCTGTAACCCAAGTACATGCCCTGGGAATCGAACCTGTGACCCTTTCGTTCTCAGGCCCATGCTCTAACCTCTGAGCCAAATTGGCCAGGACCGCCCATTTTTTAATTGGATTGTTTATCTTCATTTTGTTGAGTTGTATGAGTACTCTATATTTTGGATATTAATGCTTTCTCTGATATATCATTGGCAAATACGTTCTCCCAGAAAGTGAGTTCCCTTTTCATTTTGATACTGGTTTCTTTTTTTAATCCTCACCCAAGGACATTT